TATAATGCTTATTACGTACCAAATATCCTAAGTACTTTTATAAATATTAATTTAATTCTCATGACAATTTTGTGACATAGGTATTATTAATACCTTCATTTTACATATGAGAAAACAGGAGCAAAGAGAGGTTAAGAAAGTTGACCTAGATTACACAGGTAGTAAGTATCACACTAGGGATTCTGGCCAACATGTCTGTAGTCTCAACCATGCTGCAATTATTCCCAAGGTACATAGTTGAATATATGAAGATGTAGCTTTTACATGTTCATGTCATACCACCTTAAATTCCTATGATTCCGCCTTAAATTCCTGTGATCTAGGGGAAATTATCAATATACTATGGTCCGTATTTTAGTATATATATAGTGTATTATCTATTTTCTCAACTATTGCCCATGACCCACGGTACACTAAAACTCTGCTAAGTGGACAGTAGAAGGTTCATTTGAAGTCCACATGATGGAAGAGGTAATTCCAGTTGAGAACTCAGAGTACTTAAGATATTTTTTTCTTATGCAAATAAGTCATATCAAGAATTAGTTTAGACTAGGCTTAAGGTAGAGTTTTATCATGCAGCATTTAGACAAAATGATAAGACTATTTAAAGATGCATAGCCTGGGAGACAACCATGATAAGTGTTGCCTAGTTATGTCTTGAATGGAAGGTGATAGATAGGTGGAGATAGTTAGAAGGTGAAAACCCCACAATGTGAAAGGCAAAAGGAAGCTAAAAACCAAGAGTATGCCTGGTAATAAATGATAGTTAGTAATAAAGGGCTGGAAGTAAAGAAGCTTGGAGAACGCTTCTCCACGGTGGAAGCTATTGCAATAGAGAATCAACCCAGGTCTTTGAGAGGAGCGAGCCCTCTGTTGTGGGCACTGGAAAGCCATATTCAGTCACTGTTGGCATAAGCCCTGGGATTTGGGATGCCCATTAACTCATTGAAGCCCAAAGATATTTTATCCTACTCCAACAACAATGTGGAAAATGAGTAGAAGATCTCTTATGTTTCCAGTAAAGCAGAAATAAGTTACGTACAAATAGAATTTAGAAAATTTAGCTGATTGCTATGAGAGTAATTCTGTTTACATTGGCTGGTATAAGACATTTTCTGCCCCTTCTTTTTTTCTCAAGTTTCTGTGATTGGCCTACAGGGCTTCTCCTGCTCCTTGGAGAATTACCATGTTTTCCCGAAAATAAGACATCCTCCGAAAATAAGACCTACTTACAAGTTTTCTTCTGAGTGAAATGTAAGGCATCCCCCCAAAAATAAGGCCCCCCCTAGGCTCTGTCTCAGAATACTATTGCTAAACATGAGAGATTTGGTCCACTGATTCTGAAAGAAATGGAGTCACAAGAAATTCTCCAGGAAATTCAGGAATTGGATTGTTTGATGATGTTCCAGAAGATGATGACATGATTGTCATTGAATAAATGAGTAAATTATTGATACTGTAGGATTCACAGTTTGTCTGGTTTATGTTGACAACTACTGTACCGTATACAGGTAATAAATTTCCTTTATTTTCATTTAACAATAAATGTGTACCATATTCTTCTTCATGGAAAAATAAGACATCCCCTGAAAATAAGACTAGCACATTTTTGGGAGCAAAAATTAATATAAGACACTGTCTTATTTTCGGGGAAACAGGGTAGTTGAAATTGGCATGAACACTATTTTTACAGAGTAAGTAAGTAAAAAAAAAAAAAAAAACCCTCCATATTTCCTTTAGAATTCTTGTCTTTATTTCTTCATGGTTCCCTGGTCTCAACCTCTGCTTATGAGATTGTAGTTTTCAATCAACTGCACACTGATTAAAAAAAAAAAAAAAAGTATATATCCAAGTGAAGTATGGATGAATGAACTTGTTTTACAAAAGGTTTGGGGACTCACAGTAGAAATACTACCTTGCACACAACATAAAGGACTCCCATTTATTTTGTCCCATATTATTTTATACTCCTTCCCCCAAATTCACACTTTAAAACAGGTGAAACTTCCTACAAAATGCAGGCTCAATATTATCTAAAATATTTAGCACAGGAGGGAAGGGTCCCGATGGTTTCCTCAACACCCTTGAATATTTGAAGAAAAAAATTATGTCATCCCCTTACATTCTCTTAGAGAGAGATTGGAACTTGCATGTATCTTATTGACAGCATCCTCTGTGGGTAGTATATGAGGCACTTTTCCACAAGAGGTTTTCTTAACCCTCAGAACATTTAAGTATGTTTTCTCCCCATTTTATAGGTGAGGCAACTGAGTCTCAAAAAAAGTGTCCAACATGGGAGTTCATCTGGGGAAGGGGAAGAGTCAGCTGAAAAGGAGAAACAGGAAAAGGCAGACATTCACCAGTCTGCCTAGCGGAGTCATGAGAAGAGGGGAAGGCTCCTCTAACTCTCACTGTTCATACATCCAAGACCTTGGCACTCAGTGTCCTTTGGAAATGCAAAGCACTTTAACCAAAGATCCTTTCTGTGACTCTGAAGAGATTATTTTAGTCTCTCTTTGTAATGTTGCCTTTATTATCAATGGGTATTTTCTCTAGTGTACATCTACATATTCCATTATGCTATATTTACACTTCTTTTGCACATTTAATTAAGACATGGTTAAAAATTTGGAAAGAGCTTTCCTTTCATGAAATTTGGGAATGGAAGGTAGCATTTAGCAGGTTTCTCTGTCAACTCTAGTAGTCATTTTTAGAATCTTTAAGGGAGTAATTCAGTTACCCACACAGTTCTGCTTTCTAAGAACATTCAAGTGGGAGTCTTTTCTTAAGCAAGTCAGCAAACCTGTTAACAGTGTTCCAGCCTCCAGCAACAACAATGAGAACACGATACCCTTCAAGACTTGGTTGGGGAAGAGCAAAAAGCAGAGGGTGGAAGCAAAAGGCATTTCTGCCTCCTATGGTTTTCAGAGGCCACAGCCATGTCCTATGCTCATTCTAAAGAGGCTGGGAGAAAGGCTGGGGAATCCTACAGTATGTACTCTGGTGCATCTGCCTTTTGCCCAGCATTTTTTTTTTATGAAAACCATCCATGTAGATACAAGTGGTTATAGTTCATTAATTTTCATTGCTGTATAAAATTTCATTTTATAAATATTATCACAATTCACTCACCTATTTCTCCTGTGAATAGACATTTGGACTGTGTATTATAAGTGGACACTCTGAATTTTGTCTTCAGGCGAACATATTCATATTTGTGTACGATATATATTAGGAATAGAATAGTTGGGTCAAAAGATACATGTCTTTGCCCAGCTCGTATAGCCCAGTGGTTGAGCGTTGACCTATGAACTAGGAGATCAGGGTTCAATTTCCAGCCAGGGCACATGCCTGGGTTTGCTGGCTTAATCCCCAGTGGGGGGGGGGGGAAGAGGGAGGGGAGCATGCAGATGGGAGTTGATCAGTGATTCTTTGTCATTATTAATGTTTCTATCTCTCCCTCTCCTTTTCTCTTTGAAATACACACACACATACACACACACACACACACACACACACACACACACACACACTTAAAAGATACATGCCTTTAGCTGAGCAGATCTTGCTAGACAGTTGTATACAGGGGTCGACCCAGTTTACAACCCCCTAGCATTGCCAAAGAATTCCAATTGCTCCTCATTGCCCCACTTGCTACCGTGTCTTTTACATTCTAGCCATCCGGGGGTTGTTGTGGGGACAATACGGTCTTACTTTAAGTTTCTTATGGCTAACACTGTTGAACACTTTTTAATGTATATGTTGGCAATTTGGATAAAGCAAGTCACCATTCAGAAATATTAAGTAGGTAATGTGTGGAAATGGCAGAAATCATATAGGTGATAATGAATTGGGTGCAATTTAGTAGACACTACTTTCATTAACGGACCCTTTACTGTTGATACACTCTATTCCTTTGACAAGGCTTTTGCTGTGGTAAATTCAATTTACGGGAAGCTCAGTGAGTGTTAATTATGAATAATCCCTCTGTGGAGAGGCGTGAGGCTGCCACGGCTCCTGTCAGTGGAAGCTCCCACGGGAGGCCGCAGAAGCTGAGTCTAGGAGGGTAGAGCAGAAAATGGAAGTTAATGTTCTTTATGTCCAGAAAGTAGAAATTGTGGGATTCTTCTACAATGCTAGGGGGTTGTAAACTGGGGGTATGAGGAGCTATGAAACTTTTTAGAAAATTGCAAACATCCAGGTGTAACTACCATAATTGATAAAGAAAACAGCCAACTTGTGTTCTGCAGGGCAAGCCGACTTGAGAAATATCAAGGGCCCAGAATATTCTGGGCTCAGGGTTAAACTACATTACAAATACCGTTGTATAGCTTGAAGTATGTGAATTTAGCTCATATCATTTACCAATGATTTTCACCCCAGGGGAAACATTCTCATGCATGAGTGGGAAAAAATGTTTTACGGGTAGCTTTTTGCTTTCCAAGTTAGGTCTGATGTCAGCTCTTTAGACTGTAGACGTGAGCAATGCTTTTATTGTCACTGAGAGTGTCTGGAGGACACACATGAACTCTATAATTTTTACAGCTTAGATGCTGTCATAGACTCAATAGCAAAGCACTGGCTGCCTCTAGTTACCCAGAGGTTATCCTTTCCTTTTCCTTTTCTGGGATGCAATTATTTATTTCCAACTAGTGCTTGACTATCGCATTAAATAACACTCCTTCCAAAAGCAATAGCCAAGTGCATTATCTTTGATACCATATTTTAGTTCGCTATTACTAGAAAAACAGAAGTCCTTTATCACCGTACATTTTAATGTATTTTAGTGAAGCCTTCCAGAATGGTTAACCGGAAGAAAATTTACTTCTCTCAACTGGCTTTTTTAAGAACATTCGGAGAATTTAAAACCCTGCCAGGAAGGTCTATCATTTCTGAATGATAGACCTTGGTTCTATTTCAGGGCCAAACGTAATTCAGTTGTTGGAAATATGTTATCCCTCCAACCGGTCCTCACAGCCTGTGGTGTTCTCTGTCTGTAGGTTGAAGAAGAAGTCCCAGTCGGTGGATATTACTGCTCCAGGGTTCAACCCTCTGGCCGGTGCAGGAAAGCAGATGCCACAAGTCAGTAAGGCCCCCGCACCCAAGACACCCATCATTGAAGAGGAACAGAACACAGCCAACACCGCCAACACAGCCAACACCCCGAAGCACCCTTCCCGCAGGAGTGAGCTGAAGAGGTTCTACACGATTGGTGAGCTGCACTCGAATACATGAAGTGTCTCACGCACTCGAATACACGAAGTCTATCTAGATAGCCCTGTCCATGTGCGGGCCTGCCGGGAAATGTTCCCTTCTTTATATGTTGTACATGTCTTTGTGATGGTTTATGTGGACATTTCCTGATATGGTCTGAATGTGGAGATGGGAAAATACTGAAAACCTTACACACCATTAAGTAAGAGGGCAGCTGGAGGGCCTTCCATATTTGGCCTAAGGGAAGTAAATTATATGCAGGCAGTTCTCGGGTTACGTGGGACTCGTCCTATGCCGTTTCGTGGTTATTTATTTAAAAAAAAAAAAAAAAAGTTCCGTCATTTTGACATGTACATATGTGCTTAATGTTTTTTTATTATTTATTTACCACAAGTAAAGGTCAGGAATTGCTATCTTTCTTTTAAATTTTTGTTACTCTTTCACTGCATTTCTGCTGTGTACATGCTCCATGTGAGTGGTGTAGATGCTTATGTAGGTGGGTTACGTCACGCAGTAGGAACGGATCTCTGCCTGAAGACCTACTGTGTAAACATCTCACAGTGTTTAAGCTGAGGTGCTACCATTTGCATTTATGCCATTCTTCGGCCAACATCATTTTGTGGGTTTACTCTTTGCTTTTTCCTCTCTAGGCTCTCCAGTCTTTGACCCTATTCTGTCAGGATGTCAGCCTGTAATTAATAAGCCTATAATTAAGGAAATAGAAAGTTGTTTCTTTCTCAGCAAGAACGAACAACACTGTAGGTCTGTATGGAGCTTGCACGTGACCTCACCCGGAGAGGGATATTTGAATTTTTTTCTCAGATCTTTTAGTGTCCCTCTTTAGAAGTGATCATTCAGAGATCAGATTTCTAATTCTGATTCACACACCAATTTTCTGTGTGATTTCAAGTCATTTTCCCTTGTCTTTGGGTTAAATGACTTCCCTTCAAACTTGAAGAGATCCATCCCCATGGTTCTATTAGAATTTTCCCTTTCCATTATTGCCATACCCTCTCTTTCTTCATCTACTCTCAGGCTTCCTCTGCCCAGAGTAAGGCGTTTAAGTCTTATTTTTCACAGATAATGAGCATGATGCCTTTTAGGATGTTAATAGCCAGCTAACAAGAATTGATATAAACAGTAAAGGCAGGTGCATATTTACATTTGTAAAACTTATAACAGATCTCTACGTATTAATCATCTAGAAAAGCCCATACAGTTTATATAACTGCCTCTCTCCTTTTTCCCTTCAACATGTTCACTACCTCCTATTGCTTTTCTGGTTTATTTATTTTTTTATGTTTTATTTTTATTTATTTTTTTTGCTTTCCTGATTTATTAACTGGCTAAGAAGACTCAGTATTTTGTATTCGGAATATAGTTTATCCTACAAACTCAATATTCTCTAAAGATGAGAAAAGGAGGAAGACTGAGCAGGTTGGCCACAGGAAATAGAGAACAGTCCCTAGAAAACAAAGTCTAAGTGGTGAGTTTGGATTGCGGAAATAGCCATGAGTTATTTTAAATAGCTCTACCCCCGGTGAATTTTTAATGATTGGATTTGAACCAGTTTGACTCACAGTCTATGTCCATGGCATGTCTATTACGTTCAATTTGACAACTACATTGTGGACTTTACTGTGTTTATGTAACCCTTCCACGAAGTTGGATCTGGACACATTTTTAAGGCTGAAATGTTCACCCGCCTTTTGAAAGATCTTTCACCCGTTTTGCAATATCTTTTCACAAAACAAGTCTATTCCGGTATCCGTTAGTAAAAGTATTATTTATCATCAACGGTAGCAATAAAAATTACCACTATTGGCAATTCTATGCACCTGGCACTATCTTCTATCTATATCATTCTTCTATCTCAATTCACTCTCAAAACAACTCTGAGAGGTAGGTGTTATACTCTTTACTTTTATAGATCAGAAATAAAGCCGCAGAGAGATTAAAGTTGGAGACATGAGTCAGAGATAGCAGACTCTGCACATGAAATTAACCTTCCCTTGGGACATTTTAGAGTCAGCCTCCTGTGTCAATCAGCAGGATACCATCCCACTCTGAACAGAGGTGAGCCAGAGGGGTTTCTGTAGCAATATAGTGGCATAATATTTTACTGAAATTCCCAGATAATTTCACTTAAGGAAACCATGCCAACTAACCCATCAACGCGCCAATAGGACCTTTGTGTATTGAAAGATAACTTGGTGTCTCAATTTATGGTGCCCACAACTAAAAAAACCTGGGAGCCCTCTTGTGGCCAAATAGAGTATTACATTTAAATTTACCAATGACGTGTACCGTATTTACTAGTAGGTGAAATACTATTATAACAATTTAAAAAGCTTAGGTCTGTGTCTTGACGGAGAATCAAACCCACAACTCTTCAGTGTATGGATGAACCCCAAACAACTGAGTCCCACTGGCCCAATGCAGTCTCAACTCACCAAATTGATTGCATGGTCCATTAATGAGTTGAACCTATAGGTTGAAAAACCAGTGGACTAGATATTTGAAGTTCTTCTGATTCTTAAAATTCTATTATTAAAAGAATAAAAGTATTTCCTTGGCATTTAGTACAGTGTGGCATGCATAGTAAATGCTAAATACATGTTGGGGTGAAAAAGAGGTGCTGGTGGAGTTTGGGGTGATGAACCTGCCCTTCTCAGTGGAGGATGAAAGGAGAGAATCTGCTAAGAGTTTCATTTAAGGAAGATCTTTGGTGGCCTTGAGGCTTTAGAGAGAAGGATTGGAGCACAGGGAATAAGAGAATAATTGTACAACCCTGGTATGTGCAAGAAAAGAGAGGAGAGGAGAAGAGAGGAGAGGGGAGGGGAGGGGAGGGGAGGGGAGGGGAGGGGAGGGGAGAGGAGGAAAGGAGAGGAGAGGAGAGGAGAGGAGAGGAGAGGAGAGGAGAGGAGAGGAGAGGAGAGGAGAAAGGAGAGGAGAGGGGAGAAAAGAGAGGAGAGGAGAAAAGAGAGGAGAGGAGAAAGGAGAGGAGAGGAGAAAGGAGAGGAGAGGAGAAAGGAGAGAGGAGAGGAGAAAGGAGAGAGGAGAGGAGAGAGGAGAGGAGAGGAGAGGAAAGGGGAGAGGAGGGGAGGGGAGGGGAGAGGAGGGGAGGGGAGGGGAGAGGAGAGGAGAGGAGAGGAGAGGAGAGGAGAGGAGAGGAGAGGAGAGGAGAGGAGAGGAGAGGAGAGGAGAGGAGAGGAGAGGAGAGGAGAGGAAAGGAGAGGAAAGGAGAGGAAAGGAGAGGAAAGGAGAGGAAAGGAGAGGAAAGGAGAGGAAAGGAGAGAAAAGAAATATTAGAGTTATTTAAATGCTCTCTGCCAAGTTCATGGAAGAAGCAGAAAAGGGGGGACTTTGCCTTTCCAGGTTCCTGGTTCAGCAGGGCTTCCAAACACATCCAATAAGGGGCTCTCTGGCTAGCAGGTGTCTGACTAATGGCTCTGGAACTTTCCTTCAGCTGAGATCTCTCCCCTCAGGTCCTCACTTTGTCATGTGAACTGATAGCCTGCTCCCCCGTTTCCGTCCCCTGTTTGTCCTCATGAATCAGTCTCTCCCTTTTTACATTTATATTAATCTCACTCTAACACCTTCTCTTAGTAAGACACCAGCTTACTGGATGAGTCAGTCAGTGTTCTTGACACAGTAATTTCCAGTTATGTTCGGATGAACGAATTCTGGGTTTATTTGGGGCATCATGTAAAACTCACACTTTTTCACATATAAAACTATGTTCATTCATGTCAGTTCTATGTCAGCTTTTATTTCTGCCTTGAATAGTGTTAAGATTCAAGCCTCCCTCATACCTGGCCATGCCTTCCCCCAATCTGGGCCATGTGAATAGATTTCAAAGCATTTTAGCATGGACTTTGTCAGTTTTTTTAAATGATAACAAATTGAATTCATTGAGGTCAGTGAATGCTTACACCATTCCTAAGGGGTAAGTGGAATATATGTTATGGCCACCATGTAGCATCCTGTAGATTTAAGTTGAATGGCTTATTTTTGACCACTCCATGAACAGTGACAAAATCAAGGAAAAGGATCTAAGTAAATGATGACTAATAGCAATGAGCTCATCCCTTCCATGTTTTCAAGTCAAGTTCTCTTCTCCAAAACAGGAACAAAAACGAAATCAGATTATTGACAGAGAAATCAGTGAGTGGTTTGCCAAGGGGTAGCCCACATCATGGATGGATGGGGAAATAAATCCCTTAGGGGAAAAAACATGAGTTTTCTATGAAATTACATTTACCCAATGAAAGTAACTGTCCTTTCCTTCTTTCTTCCTCCCTCGATCCCTCCCTTCCTCCTTCTCTTCCGTCTTCCTCCCTCTTCTTTCCTTCCCTGCTTTCTTCTTTTTTCTCTTTTCTTCTCTCCTTCCTTGTGTTAAAATGAATTTACTTGTGTAAAATGATGGCATAGCAAATATATCGGTTGGGTAGACTCTGTGTGTGTGTGTGTGTGTGTGTGTGTGTGTGTGTGTGTGTGTGTATGCGCACACACATATACACACATATATTTATTTCTCTGTTGCTTTTTTCTTTTACTTTTTTATTATATTACTTTCAGGTGTACAACATGATGAGCCTATATTTATAAAGCTTACAATGTGATCATCACAGATGGTAGTCTTTGATACAAGATTTGTGTTTGTTTTTTAAATCCCTTGACTTATCAAAATTAAGTTGGGAAATGTCCCCAACCTATTCTGTCCAAATTCCACTGGTATGCGAAATTATCAAATGAAAAATTCAAAAATCCCTCCTTTGTCCTGCTTTAGTATAGAATGCCTTCAACATCCCAAGCTTAAGGAAGCCAGTCATGTACAGATGTATATCTTATGAACTCCAGGAAGCCTATAGAACAAAAAAAGAGCCTATAGAATTAGGTGTTCCCTGAGATTTTTTCTGAATAGCTGGTGAAATTAAAACAGTAATTATTAGTTTGGAAACTTTAAAAAGAGAAAAACAAGATGCACATTTAACG